CTGAAGAGGGTACTTTATCTCATCGGGGAAGGTCATATATACAGACTTTCAATTGTGTGTCAGTGTTGACAGATTTATTTCAAAGTCCCAGTAGTTTTTCTTTACTATAAAGCAACCCCCTCCTTAAAAAACCAACATATTCATTAGGAAAGAGTTTGGCTTTGATACTAATGCATCTGAAAATTACATGGCTTATAAATGGCTCATTAAGAATTGCACTGAAAAACTAATTTTATTTGAAAGCAAATAAAACTGTAAACCTCAAAAGCTTCTGGTAAAAGCTAAATGCAGGTTGGTGATGCATCTCAAAGTGTTTTATATTCAGACATCATCACCACTGACAGAAAACATCATTTTTCCTAATAGGAAAAGTATCGATCAAAGGTTAAAAAAAGCATTTTAAGACTATACCTATGGCAAATCCAAGTTTTTTCCCCATTGTGTGCAAAGAAAGAGACAGTACCTGTTGTATGTTCCTACTGTAAACTTTGTAAGTTATGCAAACAGGGAAAATAAATGTGAAACAGAGAAGCTCTTATCTGCATAGTCCTACTCCTACAATGGAGACTCACAGGACTCCATTGCAAGCTTTCTTTTTCCCCATAACTGCATCCAACTCCATCCTTTTTCCTTCACTTTTAAAGGAACCAAATGGACCTGCATTTGCATGTCTCTGTCTTCTAACTAACTAGCCATATTTTCATAAACATTTTTCAAACTTGCATATATTGTTTGCATGCATCTCTGGTGGCACAGTGGGTTAAACCCCTGTGCCGGCAGGACTGAAGACTGACAGGTTGCAGGTTCGAATCCGGGGAGAGGTGGATGAGCTCCCTCTATCAGCTCCAGCTCTTCATGCGGGGACATGAAAGAAGCCTCCCACAAGGATGATAAAACATCAGATCATCCAGGCATCCCCTGGGCAATGTCCTTGCAGACGGCCAATTCTCTCACACCAGAAGCGACTTGCAGTTTCTCAGGTCGCTCCTGACATGACAAAAAAAAAAGGATCTCCATCATTGTAAATTTGTTTGTGCTGTGAATTCTCCACCTACATGTTTTAATAATAATAATAATAATAATAATAATAATAATAATAATAATCCTTTATTTGTATACCGCTTAGGGTAGTTTCCAGCATGGTAAGCATTGCACTTACCGACATAAAAACATACAAAAACATTATAACCATAAAACATAGTACTATATGATAATCACACATATTTAAATTAAAACCAATCCGATACTCATTGGATTAGGCAGCTCAGCTTCCAATGGCTAAGATTCCAAAATGGACCTTGACAACTAAGAGAGGGCTGGGTTGGCATGATGGAGTAGACTCGGGCAAGGGAGTGGGTAAAGTGCAAGCATGGCCTACCTGATGATCAGGTTGGGGCCTGGAGCTATTATTATATTCAAGGTGCATTACATAACACATATTTAGAAGTATGATGTCCAAATATGCTAATTTTATTTGATGATCCTAGATCCAGTTGGTAATGTGCAGGTTATCTCCAACATCCAGCCTAGACAACCGGGTCTTAAATCATGTGAGGGAAGGGACTTAGTATGCTGTTTGTAATGAAATTGGGCTTTCTTAATGGGAAAAAAACTCTACAACACTGATTAGGATGTTTCATTTTCTGTCAGATCATAAAGTCCTACCAGATGAAATTCTACTGTCCCCATCACCTTTCCCAGTGGTTCCTTCATGATGAAGATGAATTCAATATAATTGGTATGTGACCATATGAAGAATCCTTCTACAATAACCCTAAAAAGATATGTACTACCATAGTTTGACATGGCACTTGCAAGTGCCATGAACAGCATACTAGCCATACTGCTTACTACTGTGTAGCAAATCCTACTGAAAAGATAGTAAGGTGGGGTTAAGATCAGCTGCTTGGGTCTACTCTAGAGTGGTGGCATCAGAGGGGAAAGTCAAGTATCTCATAAGCTTTTTCCCCCAAGTTTTTTCTTTTAAAAATGGAGTTAGCGGGGACTGCACTGGCTCATGGGATAAATCTAGAAACTGATAATTTTGGTAAAACTGGAAAGAAAAGACATATGAAGAGGAATGAGATGTTTTTTATAATGCTATGGGACATAACGTCATATAATAATATGGCATTGCCCTAAATATGCTTATGGTCTAACTGCAAGCCTGATGACTCAATCACTGAAATAGAGAGGTATGGTACAGTAATCTAACAGGATTCATTTTATGTGCAAATATCACAGTTTTGTGAACATAGAGTTTTCTACTACAACAACAACAACAACAACTTTTATTGAGTAGCCACTTGGCCTTATCAAAACAGACAGTGCAAACACAACATACAACATACATCTAGTCCTAAAAAAATAAAATACAAACACAAAAATATACAGGTGTTTGTTAGCTCAAAAACACCTTATATATTGTGCATGATGTACATATTTTGTATGTATACACATCCTTCATCTGGAATGGTATTAAAGATTTAATATAACAATCCCAATGTGATACTGGGCTCAATCACCCAACATCAATACCTTCAGCAACAGTGGAAGACAACAAATAGGTACAACCTTGTTGGAACCCAAGTACTGCATATTACTAATATTATAATGTCATTATAATAATAAGCTCTGAACATACTTATTACTCCCCAATTTCAGTCCTTTCTCATATTCTCTGTGTTAAATTTGGATTAGCTGGAATCCTGTTAGTGACCTATGTACCTATAAGTCAGGGCTACATAACCATGTTTTGTTTATTTTGGATAATGTGCAAAAAGCTATTCAGCAAGTAGTATCATGCAAAATCCTTCCTAAGAGCAATCAAGTCTTCTGAAGCTAGGAGAATGAGGGGGGTTATGGATAGGTAGTTCACATTGGTGATCTTCAGTTCAGTAATCTCAGAATGGGCTTTGTTTGTCCCCTGAAATACAACAAAAAAGGAAGCAAGTAGATAGCCCATTAAGACGTAACCATAAAGATGCCCCCTTCCATTGTTAACATGAACACATCTGGATCAGTGGGAAAGGCTATGAAGGGCAATTTGGTATATTCACACCCTAGTTCTATTATGCCTCTGTCTGGTTTACTTTCCATTAGGAAAAAGAATTATTTCAAGCTGAAAGTGAAGACTCTTGAACAAGTTATGGCTGTCAAGAACTGATAACAAATGCCTGGATCAATGTGATTTACACAAACATTGATATTATTTATAAACTGAATAATTGGATCTACTCTATTTGAGGCTACCAATAAGATTCATTAAAAAGTATGACATCTTTGATTGTATTGCATGTCAGCTGTGCTTAGCCACAATGTCAGAGGCACTCTGGGTAACCATTACCATGGGCAAGAAAAGCCAAAGACTGAACATAATTAAAGGTTTTTCATATCCTTACGTTTAGCAAATAGCAAGCAATTTATTAAAGCCATTGATTATTTCAGTTGACCAAAAACACTGCAGGGCAGTGGTTTCCACATTTTTCTATAACTTTTTAATATGGAACATTTTATGAGCTTTTGCTGGATTCATGAGGGAAATGAACTCTTGAAGATTTGTTAACCACCTGTTGTCCTTGACAGCATGTAGGACAGCTCAAATGACAAAGCTGGTTTAAGCCAGGTTGAAAAAATATATCTTACATGTGCAGGAAGAAAGAGGAAAAGAAAGAGAGAGAGAGAGAGGAATTATGCAAAGCTGCCACAAAATATTTCACTACCTGAAGTAAAAAAAAAAAACCAAACCCACACACACAAGATAATGCCTCCTCTCCACTGAATGGAGAGGAGTCAGGTTGCATGACTGATGACTCTTGAAACAACCCAGGTGACAGGATAGCATCATCCACCACAACTGAAGCAGAAGGGTAGTTTGGGGAGTCATGGACAGGCTGGAAGCCACACACAGATCTTTTCTCAAACATGAACAACTGCTGGCAGCTTTAGAGGAACAATCAGATGTTTCTGCTGCTCCATCTTCTGCTGCCTGAAGCAGTTGCCCGATTCTGTAGAGTTGGCAACAACATTTTGTTAATCTTTTAGGGAATAATTTCAACATCTAAAAGGTACATACATACATAACTCCCATAACATAAATGTTCATGGTTCTGAAAATGGAGAAATGTCTCTGATATTTGCTTGCATTGCAAGAATGCATTTAAATTCCCGTAAGAGTTAGCTAGACAGATTATGAAAGTTGCATGTCAGAAATCTCTGGGTGGCCACAGTTGACCAGGCCTGATTTACACAATTCCAGTGAAGGTATTAATTGAATATCCTTTATGTGTGTCTAATTTACTTTTAATATCCAAGTGATACCCAAGACCTGAAGATATCTAAATATTTTCCATATATCTAAATATTTATCCCAAAAGCCCATGAGAATATCAGAATATGTTGCTTCCTGAACTGACTGGAAACAACATCCCTCTGGGATGTCTGCTGGTTCATTCAATCACTTTTTGTAACCCTCCTGATACTAGTATGATTTGAACATGCCTCCATCAACCAGCAAGATGAGTAGTTTATTGCCAAAGGTCCAATAGAAAGAGTAAATTGAATTATCAGCTCTTATTTCCTTAACTTTCTTGCATGACAGCAATTTTAAAGATCTCCTCTCTCTGTTATTACATATAAATCTATATATCTTGCCCTTGATGCATAGCAAGACTAGACAACCAGTGTAGTGTAACAGGCACAATGTCAGTTAGGATAAAACTTAGATCCCTGTCTCACAAAGCATTTTGCCAGACTGATCTACTGTTGCTGAGATTATTACTTGGAAGAAGTAACATATGTGATGCCATGAAAATCCTTTAGAAAGAGCAGATTTTAGAAATAGTTGATGAAATAATGCAGTTAGACCTGATTTTGAAACACTTACAAGGCAGGGCAATGTGGAGAAATGCAACAGTGAGAGAGATTCTGAGGCTTCTATATTAATTGTGTCTCTGAACTGTATCATAGAGAAAACGTTTCACTATTAATTCTCTTCTTACCTTGACATCTTTTACATTCATCCTTGTCCCTTCTTTTCCAACAAAGATGTCATCAATGTCAACAAGAATGTATCTATCCAAGGACAGTGAAAGCCTTTTCCCTGTCAAGAAGGAGATGGCATCTATAAAAATGAGTTTGTGCAGCCAAAAGTTCAAATTGTTTCCAAAAAGGACTCTTTGAATTCCATCATGTAGTCCCAGGTCCTGAATCACTGTAGCATAAAGAGAAACCTTTGGCAGTGATGCTGGGAATGGTTTGGAAGCCTGAATTTCTGTTAAAAGCACTGGTTGGTATGTAGAATGATTATATTGGAAAATGGTCCAATCTTCACCAGGTAATGGGCCTTTCTCAACCCTTGGGGCTTTGGTTATGTGCAGCAGAGGAGACTGAGGATTTACTAAGCAATCTTGCAGAGCCACATTATTGTAAAGATATAATGGAAATCCTTTGAGTGTAATGCTTGGCAAGCTGTTCTCATTGGCTTTATGAAAACCAATTATACTAACACTGTATTCCACACAGTATTTCTCCAGGAGTTCTCTATTCCAAGAATCCATGGATGTGTACTTCAAAATATTTTCATAGATCACCAGGATATATTTCCCTTTGCCATTGTCAGCCAGTGGAGGAATGTCCCCCTTCCCAGATGCAATCACCATCTGAAATTGAAATCGGCTCGACTCCAGAATAGCTATGATGTCTTGGCCAAGCTGAGAATACTGGCTTTCAACAAACAGTAGCACAGTAGGGTCAGTCCTAGATGGATCAATTGGTTTCACCATTTTAAGGTCCATTGATCTATATGGTAAGAGTTTAAGATTTTCACATTCTATCCCATCTGTTGCCTCAATAAGAGCTATTTCTTGCTTGTGACCTGTATACAAGTAATAAGCAGAAATGACTATGCTCACCAAACAGAAAGTAGCTAAGAGTATTACTATTGTTCGGAAACTTCTACGAAGTTTCACAATCAGATTCATTTTTTCTTTGCAGCACTTTCTGTTTATTTAAAAAAACAAGTGGCTTCTTCCTTCTAAAGTGCCATTATAAACAAGCCAAGTTATGAGTGCCACTCTCCAAACATTCATGTGACCATTGCAATGCATTTATAAGGGTGGTGGATGAGGCTATGAAACTTTGCGATGTAAGAGTCCAAGGAGTTGCAAATTTATATTGGAAGCAGTCTTCTTTGAATGCACCAGTTCCAAATAATCAATTGAAAAGTCGCTTAACATTATCTGCAACAAAGGGAGAAATTAGAGTGGGTTAAGAAAATCCATACAGCAATTAAAATGTATTAATTAAATAAGCTAGTCACTTCAAATAAAAAGTCCTGAGCACAAACGTTTTACTGATTCTGCAATAGACGATGAGAGGAGGATGACACTTACAATTCCTTTGGTGGAAAGAAACTTTGTCTTTCAAATACTGTTATCATAATACTTGTGATATTCATTACATCCTACACAGTACACAAAAGCACAGTGAATGTTAAGGCACCTCCTACTTGATTGTAAAGCTTGTTTGCACAGACAAAAGAATAATTAACAAGAAAATAACTTAGGATGAAGTAAATCCTAAGCAAACATTTTGTTTGGGGAATTTCTGCTATTTTTTTACAATTTCATAGAATCATAGAGTTGGAAGAGACCTCATGGGCCATCCAGTCCAACCCCCTGCCAAGAAGCAGGAATACTGCATTCAAAGCACCCCCGACAGATGGCCATCCAGCCTCTGTTTAAAAGCTTCCAAAGAAGGAGCCTCCACCACACTCCGGGGCAGAGAGTTCCACTGCTGTATGGCTCTCAAAGTCAGGAAGTTCTTCCTAATGTTCAGATGGAATCTCCTTTCTTGTAGTTTGAAGCCATTGTTCTGTGTCCTAGTCTCCAGGGCAGCAGAAAACAAACTTGCTTCCTCCTCCCTGTGACTTCCTCTCACATATCGTTACATGGCTATCATATCCCCTCTCAGCCTTCTCTTCTTCAGGCTAAACATGCCCAGCTCTTTAAGCCACTCCTCATAGGGCTTGTTCTCCAGACCCCTGATCATTTTAGTTGCCCTCCTCTGGACACATTCCAGCTTGTCAATATCTCTCTTCAATTGTGGTGTCCAAAATTGGACACAATATTCCAGGTGTGGTCTAACCACGGCAGAATAGAGGGGTAGCATGACTTCCATGGACCTAGACACTACTCCTATTGATGCAGGCCAAAATCCTATTGGCTTTTTTTTTGCTGCCACATCACATTGTTGGCTCATGTTTAACTTGTTGTCCACAAGGACCCCAAGATCTTTTTCACACGTACTGCTCTTGAGCCACGCATCCCCCATTCTGTATTTTTGCATTTCATTTTTTCTGCATAAGTGGAGTATCTTGCATTTGTCATTGTTGAACTTCATTTTGTTAGCTTTGACCCATCTCTCTAATCTGTCAAGATCATTTTGAATTCTGCTCCTGTCCTCTGGAATACTGGCTATCCCTCCCAATTTGGTGTCATCTGCAAACTTGATGATCATGCCTTCTAACCCTTCATCTAAGTCATTAATAAAATTTAAAAAAAATAAATTTTCTTTTTATGAAAAGAGGTTTGGAAAAGAAGTCACCGAAACCCTTGAAAACAACATCAATTAGCCCATGTGTTGTTCTTTAATTAAAATGTTTACATTCCTAGAACCAATATAAATAAGCAGGATAATGGAAATTATTTTCAACTGTCCCACTTCTACAATTAGTGGATGGAAAAATCCAATGAAATATGGGAAGAATCCTTGTTTCTTGTTGTTATGTACCTTCAAGTCATTTCCACCTTACAGTGTATCTATTACAGAGTTTAGTTGACAAGATTTGTTCATGAGGGCCAAAGGGAGGGGTTGTCTTTGCCTTCCCATAATGTAGTCCCAGAGGTCTGTTTCATCTAATAACCTCTACAATGCCCTTCCAGAGACCATAGACTTACCTAGTAAACTATTGTAACGTGCTACATACACAGATGGCTTTATATGAACCAGTGATTATCACAGCAGTTTTCTGATATCTTCAGTAGGAATATATCAATTGACAATGCTTTTGTGGATCATCTTCTCATGTCAAATGCTTGCACCTAGTTTCTGCAATATCCTTCTCCTACTAACCCCTCCCAACAATCTACGAATGTGGGTTGTTGTAGGTTTTTCGGACTATATGGCCATGTTCTAGAAGCATTATCTCCTGACGTTTCACCTGCATCTATGGCAGCCATTGTCAGAGGTTGTGAGGTCTGTTGGAAACTAGGAAAATGGGGTTTATATATCTGTGGAACGTCCAGGGTGGGAGAAATTTATTTATTTATTTATTTCATGCATTTCTCCCCCGAAAGGGAACTCAGAAAGACCTCTTGTCTGTTGGAGATAAGTATGAATGTTTCAATTGGCTACCTTGATTAGCATTTAATGGCCTATCAGTTTTCAAGGTGTTGCTTCTTACTGTATGGGGGAAGCCTTTGTTGAGAGGTGATTAGCTGTTCCTGAATGCTTCTTGTCTGGAGTTCCCCTGTTTTTGAATATTGTTCTTTATTTACTGTTATGATTTTAGAGTTTTTTTAATACTAGTAGCCAGATTTTGTTCATTTTCATGGTTTTTTCCTTTCTGTTGAAATCTATGAATGGAGTGTTGTGTGGTTTCCAGACTGATCTATTAATGTTAACTTTCAGCAAAAGGGACTGGATTACATAACATTCCCAGTGTTTTTATATCGTCCGCAAATGATCACTTATGAGACAGCTCTATTATTCTTCACATGGATGCCCCTCTCCCCCAACATTGTTTCATAAATATGGAAGAGACCGTGATAATATAATATTCTCTGCAAAGAATGACATTAGTTGATATTCCCATTTCATTTGTGAACAAATGAGGAGATGATGGATTTTTTTTGTCCAGGATTAACCATTGTAAAATGTATTACATATAATATTTTAGTAAAAAAAATAAAACACATAGCTGAACCAATATACCAAAGTTGCCGTTTTACTTCCATTGTGCTTGGGAGTATTTGCCTTCAGATTGCCTGCTGATTTATGGTGACTCCATGAATCGCATAGGATTTTCTTAGGCAAGGAATATTCTGATTCTGTGTCATGAGCCCATTTCTCTGAAATACAGCCTACAGTACCTGTTTTCCTTTGGTGGTCTTCCAAGTACTAAGACAGACCCTGCATAGCTTCTAAGATCAGATGGGATCTGATACCTTTTAGGTATTTAGGATTTAGCTGTGTAATAGATTGAGATTCTTGATTAGAGTAAACTATAAGTTGCTTGATGCACTTTAATGTTTTTGTAAATGATAAGGCTCCAATGAAAAAATATATCAAATGTCAAAAGCAGATCATGTGAAATTCTCCACGAGGCTGCATTCTTGTTTTGAAACTTTGTAAACACTAATAACAACATTTTTTTTTACACTTTTAAAGTATATGGCATGTTCCCATTGAATAAATAAGTATGTGACTATACCGGGAAAAGATAAACTTTGCATTTTTGACACTTAAAAGGGATGGCAGTGAGATTTTAGGTAAAATACCATTCGGATTTCACACCATAGACATATTTGGAAACACTAGAGGGCAGTATATTCCTGTTTTCCCAAATAGAAACTGGCATCACTGTATCACCTGTTACCTACCAGGACAAACTGATGTAAAATATACTCAAGAATTATGAGTTTAAAGTAAGAGGTAGAAAATTATTCCAGACTTCAGTGTTAAAATAATATAATCCAAGTACTGAAAAATAAGGCATTGTGATCATTTTAATATTTACAGTATTTCTTATTCTGGAGTCTGTTTCTGTAGAACAAGTGACTACATGAGATCAGAAGGATGTCATTTTTCTTTCTTTGTATTTTTGTTGTAGTACTTCCTTTCACTTTGGCAGAAAGATTCCAAGCTATGAAAACAAATGGAAATAAGGTGTGTATTGCATATTAAATTATTGATGATCTAGCTAACAAAATACTAGGAGGGTTTTCTTTTCATTATCTTTATTTTATATTTCACAAGAGTTAAAGACACTCTGTTACTCCTTTCCACCTAATACCAAGGATGCCATCCTGCCCCTAAACCAGTGCCTGTCATCAGTGATGGACTGGATGAAGGCTAATAAATTGAAATTAAATCCAGATAAGACAGAAGGCAGTCAGAAGGCAGACCAAAGTGTAGGCTGGATGAGGATGCACTCCCCCTGAAAACGCAGGTTTGCTGTCAGGGGGTGATCCTGGACTTATCACTGACCCTGGAACTCCAGGTGTCGGTGATGGCCAGGAGTGCCTTTGCACAATTAAAACTTGTGCGCCATGTGCGCCCATACCTTGAAATGCCAGTTCTGGCCGTGGCAGTCCACACCTTAGTCACAACCTGCTTGGACTACTGCAATGCTTGGACTACTGCAAAGGGCTGCCTTTGAAGATAGTTCAGAAGCTTCAACAGGTTCAGAGATCAGCAGCCAGATTACTAACTGGAACTCAGTACAGGGAGAGATCCACTGCCATGTTGTGGCAGTTCCACTGGCTGCCGGTCTGCTTCTGGGCTAAATACAAAGTGCTGGTCATTACCTGGGTCCAGGCTATTTGACCAATTGCATCTCCTCTTACAAACTGGCCCGGGCAATGTGGTTTGTGGTGGAGGCCCTGCTCTCGGTTCCACCCCCATCTACAGCTAGTGGGAACAATCCCACCCCTGGAACTCCCTGCCTAAAGAATTAAAGTTGCCCCCCCCCCTCTCCTCTCTTTTAAAGAAACAATTGAAGACCTACTTCTGCTCACTAGCATATGGAGAGGAGGAGGATTAAATAATAAGAGATCACTACTGGGCCCTGGTTGTGAACTATTTTGTATCTGGCTCTGCTAGCTCATGTCTACACAATTACCAACATTGGCCACACAACCAACCCACACAACTTTGTGAGCTCCAGTTGGCTTTTGTAAATTAAAGTTGGACATTTGTTCTGATTTTGTGTCATTATATAATTTTTGTCTGGCTACATATGTTCAATTTATTGATGTTTATTTATTTATTTATTTATTTCTGGTATTTCTACCCCGTCACTTCTCTACTCCCGAGGGGGGACTCAGGATGGCTTACAATAGGCACCAATATGATGCCAATACATGACAATCACAATAATACAACCATAATTGAACATAAGCCTAATTAAAACAGTAATTTAAAAAGTAAGCAATAATTAAAACAGTAAAAAAAAAGC